CCCCCCCCGCCCCCCATACCACCCCTGAGACCCACGGCTGCCTCCCGTGCCTTCGTGCCTCCCGGTCTCACATGTTAGCGGCTTTGTCGGGGTGAGGCTCTGGGTGTGGACCAAGACCGCCTTGCCCGACCCTTACGATTTGCCGACTGAACGCACCAGCCGCCGTGGCTGTCCTTTTTTTTTCTGGGGGGGATGTTTAGGTATTGGGTTGTCAGAGAAGCCGTGACTTATCTTATGCATAGAAAAACAGAAAAGTACGTCACGAGTTCTCCAGTAACCCAATATTACTTCCGTGGGCGAGTCGGATGGCTCCCCAGCAGGGTGTGCACGCGAGCTCCGCTGCCTCGCTGGCCTCCCGGGCACATGCGTAGGTCCTGCATGTTCGGGAAGGTCTGGGCACGCACCTGGGCTTCCCCGTGCTGCGTATCGCAGAGCACGTCCCACTCTGGCCTCTACCCTGGTCACATTCCCTGTGAGGAGGGCGCCACAGGTGCCTGGTCCTTTCCTTCCTTTCCAGGGTTTTTAGAATGACAAGCTGGTGCCTTAGGGACCTCCACAAGGGCTCCCGAGGGTCTTCCTGGTTTGGGGAGTACATGAGCTCACACATCTTGGTTTTCTTTTTCTTTCTTTTTAAAATTTGCTACAGGGGCATGTGCATGTGCTGGAAAGAGGCAGAGAGAAGGTGAGAGGTTACCACCAAGGGGAGTGGCCAAGCCGCAGTGCCTGCTCCTGCATTCTACCCTTGAGGTGTTGGGCACGCGCACACACGCCCCGGTGACTTTCAGGTCGCCAGGCCCAGGACATGAACCGTGAGTCAGCTCAACCCTCGAGCCACTGACTGACCCCTCGATGTGTTGCAGCTCCTGTTTCTCCTGGCTCAGCCCCAGTTCCTCTCAGTGGCTGTATATTTTTTTTTTCTTTTGTTTTTGGTATAGGTTTTTGCCTTAGAGTACATGTGCTCACTGGAGAGAGGAAGAGACAGTGAAAGGGAGAATGAGAACTCACTCCCCAGGGGGATGGCCACACCACCGTCTGTTCTCCATCCTCTTCTGAGAATCTTGGGCACGCCCACATAGGTGCCTGGTGGCAATTTTTTGTTTTTGTTTTTTGGGGTTTTTTTAGAGAGGTTTTTGCTACAGGGTGTGTACGCTTGCTAGAATGATAGAGAGGGAAAGGAAAAAATCACCCCCCAAGGGGGGTGGCCATGCCGCAATTCCTTCTCCTCCATTCTCTTGGATCTTGGGCACGCACACACCCGCGCCCAGCGTGAGTTTAAGCCACTGAGTCCGGGACTCGAACCGTGGTCGACTACGTGGGAGTCCAGCGGCATAGCCATTATGCCAACTGCTGGTCCCACCTGGTGTGGGTTTTTTTTTTTTTTTCTTAAAGAATTATTTAACTTTATTTAGTTTCTTTTCTTTTACTGTTTTTGTTTTTTTGTTGTTTTGGTTTTTTTAAAAACCAGGGAGGGAGAGAGAAAGAGAAAGAAAGCAAGCTGCCAGGTCTGGAACTCGAACCACGGTTGTCCATGTGGGAGTCCAGCACCCCTAACCACCATGCCATCTGTTGGCACCAGTGGCTACAGCATTTAAGGCCCCCACTTCAGCCAGAGGCACTTACGGCTCCTGAGTTGTCCCGGCCCTGGCCTCTGCAGCAGGTGGAGCGGGGAGCTCAGTGTTTCCTGAAAGAACTGTGAGTGCGTGCTGCCCTGTCTGGCTCATTTAAGGTTCCAGGTGTGGGGGTCGGCAGGTAGTGTGCTGATTGAGGCACTGGGTCTTGCATGGCTGACTACGATTTAAGCCCGAGACAAGACCGTACCAGACGTGTTCATATTTGTCCAGAATCCTACGGAGAGAAGAGGTAGTTGCATGCCCATCCCTCCTAGGGGTGATTTCTCTCTTCTCTTCTTTCTCCAGCAAGCACACATACCCTATAGCAAAAACAAACCAAAACAAAAACAAAAGCAAACAAAAAACTAAAAAAAGGTTTTTCCTAACTTTTAAAATTGTATACACATTTCCTGTTTGCACAGTAGCCCCAGCGGCCCCACATGCAGTGCCGACAGGGTTACCACCTGGAGTGTGCGGACGGGGTCAGGGCTGCGGCCACTCTCGGCCTTATCTGTCTAGTGGGGACTCACGGCCAGGAGTGGGCCATAGAACACTTTTACAGGTCCTTTCTTTCAAATAAAGGCTTTTGCTATAGGCCATGTGCACTTGCCAGAGACAGACAGTGAGAACGAGAAGTGCCCTGGGGAGATGGCCTCGCTGTAGCCCTTCTCTGCTCTCCTCGGATGAGGCGCATGCGCACCGACCGCTGTGCTTCTCAAGCCACTAGGTCCTGATCTCAAACCTCGTTCCATGTGGGAGTCTAGCACTTGAACCACTATGCCACCTGCTAGCCCTTAGGGATGACTTAGAAATCCATGCTTCAGGGCCAGCGGATGGTGTAGTGGTTAAGGCGCTGGACTCTCACATGCCCACCATGATCTGAGTCCCAGACCCGGTAGCTTGAAACACACCAGGCGCGTGTGCATGGGTGCCCGAAATCCCAGGAGAAGGGGCGTGGCCGTTCCTCTGTCCCTGTCTCTGTGAGCTCACGCACCCTGTAACAACTGCGTGCTCAGCCACGGAGGTCCTCCGCAAGCCCACCCCACGCTCTCACTAGCTTCCAGCCCTGCGTTTGCTCCTTGGAAGGTAGCAGCAGCATGTCCCTGACACGACGTGGCCAGGAGCGTGGTCCTAAATAGCACAGAGCCCGGGCCTGCCTGCTCATGCCCCCTACTGTCCGGGCTCGGCTTCGCAGCAGCAGGGCTTGGACCTGCCCACAGGGCACCTGGCCGCTGTCTTCAGTCTCAGCAGCGTGGGCCTCGTGCTCGCTGCTGTCCATCACCGGTTTGTCCAGCCATGTCCCTAGCAGGACCATGGAGAAACAACTGTACATCTTTAGCGCCCGTGGGCCGTGGAGTGGCCACATCAGCCTGGCTTTCCCACGCCATCCCCTTCTGCATGTTGTCTGCCCAGGCGCTCTGTGGCCCAGCCCCATCCGTGTGCCCCAGTGAGTCTGAGGCGGCTGCTGACAATGTCCCACTGCCCCTGCCCTGACGGGCCCTCTGTCATTGGTGTGGACCCCTAGGCTCTTGCTTTGTTTCCTGGGGACAGTTCATCCTGCCATGGTCCGTCATGGTGCTCAGCGTTGTCCCTGCCTTCAGTGTGGCCTGCCCAAAAGCACAGCATTGCCGCTCCTGCCCAGCTCGGCTGGCTGCTCCTCCGGGAAACCGAGCCTTGTGGTGGGGACAGGTTCTTGGAGCTGAGGCCTGGACGGGGCTGCGTGCTTACAGGCCAGGCAGAGGCCAGAATGGGAGATGTTTGAGTCTGGCCATCCTGGAGTGGCAGGGAGGGCTGAGTGTGACGTGGCCCTGTGCACCCCCAGCACCAGCCGCCGGTCCCTATCCCAGCCACACCCTGGCTCGAGCTCTTGCCCTTGCGTTCTGCACAGATCCCCCACTGACCCTGCATCTTTAGGCTGGTTCTGTGGCCCCAACCAGGTCGTCCAGGAGGCTGAGCAGGCAGTGCGTGGCCGGCTGTCCACCTGCCAGTCCTGCCGAGGTTCCCTACCAGGCCCTGGCTTTTCTAGCAGCCTTCGCTCTCTGGTCACTGCGAGGTTTCCAGTGCGCCCGGCTGCTGACTTGGCTCCATCTGGGAGAACGGCTCCTGTACCTCGAGTCTGCCCACGCCTCGCTCGTCACTTCAGCTAGGCCTTGAACAGCACCTGGTTCCCGCCTGTGGCGACGGCACTGCTCTTTGGCAAGGGCCTCCCCACCACGAGCGTGGCCGTCCCCATCCTGCTGCCTGCCCGCCCCGGCACCATGTCCAAGTGCCTCCTGCGTCCCAGCCACCGCTCTGCTGGCCCCACCCTGCTTCCAGGGCCCTGCCCACCCAGCCCTGCCAGCCAGACCAGAGGCCTCGCTTGTGCTCCTTTCCGCCCTGCCAGTCCCAGGGTTTCTGCAGGGGCTGGACCTGCTTCGATTGGTTTTCTCTTGCAGTGTCTGCCCCAGTTCCCTTCCAGCACCTACGCGGCAGGTCTGTGCAGCCATGCCCAGACCAGCCACCCCCCATTTGCTGCCCCTGCTTTCACGTCCCAGTGCTTGTGGGCACTTTGTTCCTGGGCAGCGGTAGGGTCAGCCCGCCCTGCCCCTAGACAGCGGAGTGTCCTGGCCTGCCAGGTGGCAATACGGCCATTGCCCACGGTGGCTCTGAAGCAAGATGATCGGATGCTCCCTTAGCCACACGGGTGGCCCACGCCACAGGTCGGCCTCTGGGCCCACAGCATGGCACTCCAGGACTGGGCCTCACCGTCGGCCTCTCCCTCCTTCCAGGTGTCCCCAGGTGTCATTGCCAACCCCTTCGCGGCAGGCGCCGGCCCCCGGAACAGCCTGGAGAGTGTCTCCTCCACAGACCCGGAGTTGAGCCCTGAGGGCCCAGACAAGGTGGGCACTGCGTGGCCAGCCCCGGGCTGGGAACCTGGGGCCTTGCCCTCTGACTCGCTCTGCTCGCAGGAGGAGGAGCCTGGACAGACCTCACCCTGGGGGCCTGAGGCCCTGGAGCCCACAGTGAGTGCCACCCGGCCTGGCCATGGCCCTTGTAGCAGCAGCACCCGGGCCGCCAGGCGCTGTCCCCACCAGCAGTGTCCTCTCTCCCCAGGGTCACAGCCTACAGCCCCTGAAGCTGGATTACCGTGTCCTGGCAGCTGTGCCCAGTGCCAGCGGCCTGCAGAGGGTCAGTCAGCGTGGGCACAGTGTGCTCACCCTGCCCCTCTACTGCCACAGCCGGGAGGGGGCGGGTGTCTGCCGCAGGCTGGGCTCAGTGAGCCTGGGCCCCTGGCCTGGAGTGAGCTCTGTCCTGAATTCCTGCCCCAGCTGTGCGACAGGTGCTGTGGTCCCTCGGCAGGGACTTGCCCGGGGCATGGCCAGGCCGGGTGCAGTTCCGCCCCGTCCTTGCTTCCAGGCAGCTAGGGGGAGCCAGACTCCGCCTGCTGCCCACAGAGGGGCTGCCCAGCAGACTCGTGGGCAGAGACAGCCGGAGGCCTGTGACGGGCTGGGGCAGCCGCGAGGGTCGGGGGAGGGCTCTGACAGCTGGGCTGGAGGCGGCTGTCAGGAACATGGGGGCCTGGGGATAGGCAGGAAGGGCAGAGATACCCTCCGGCGAGCCCCACCAGTGTACCAGGAGACCTGCAGACGTGAGTGGTTGAGTGGGCTCGGGGCGCAGGGAGGGGCAGGGCAGGGCCACCTGAGTGACCTCACTCCGAGGCTGTGGTCACCAACCCAACCTGTGACCAGTCACCAGAGGGAGGTGGGGGAGGCAGGCAGCATGCCTGGAAGGGGCGCCCGGTGTCCCGCGCTCACGGCAGCTCGGGCACAGGCAGGACCGCAGGTGGGACCTGTCACTCTCACCGCCCAGCTGGTTGGAGGGGAGCTCGCTGGACCCCGGCCCAGCCACTCCTTGTGCTGGCCAATCGGCTGTGGGCCACTTCTTATGGCTCCAGGCTAGTGCCCAGCCCCTACCCCTCCTGATGGGCTGCAGCCTCCTGGCCCTCACCACCCACCCTGGCTCATCCAGGCATCCCCTGGGACAACTGGAGGGAAGATGGCAGAAGTCCCCCGCCCTCCTGGTGGCCAGCAGGTGAGTCGTGGGCAGCTGCAGGGTGGGAGCTGAGCGAGTGCAAAGCCTGCTGGGAGCCCGCAACCAGCAGCTCCCTCTTGTTCAAGGGCTCACCCTCCTGTCCGAGGGCGCAGTCCAGGGACACCTCGCCAGCCACGGGGGCTGGAGGTGCCATGCAGGGGGTCTGAGCTCTCTTGAGGCCCTGACTGGCTTCAGTCCCAATACTGCCCCCGGCTGAGCTCCCTGGGCCTGCCCCTCACAGGGCCCAGCCCACGGCACCCTCTCGCTGCCCTGCAGGAAAGCCCAGCTCCCCCAGCCACCCACCCTGACTCCATCTTCTGTCCATCTTCCCTCTCCCCACCTTCACGGCATCCCCAGTCCTGCTCTGGTCCCGACCCCTGCCCTTCATAGACAAAACCAGGGGTGATCCAGTCATTGGCTCAGGCCTGGCTCAGGGCTCCCTGGGCTCCAGGGCCAGAGGTGGTGCCCACCCTGTGAGTGCCGTGTCCCACCAGGGTGGGGGCATGGCCTCTCTGCAGGGCAGAGGCAGTCAGTGGGGCAGCTGGGAGTAGCACTCAGCAAATCCGCTGCCCCAGGCGGCAAAAGGCTGCCCCAGCCGGCCTCACCAGCCACTCACCTCCCTGCCCACTGCCTGCAGCCGCCCTCCCCACCCTCCCCGGACGAGCTGCCGGCCAATGTGAAGCAGGCCTACCGGGCCTTCGCCGCAGTGCCCAGCCCACACCCTCCTGAGGACGCCCCCACCCAGGTAGTAGTGGGCGGGCACATCCACAGCCACCTGCTCGGGGTGGGAGGCCACAAGGGCGGCGCCAGGGAGGAGTGCTGGCCAGGTCTCAGGGCCCGCTCCCCACAGCCCGCGGGACCTGGGCCTGCCCCCTCCCCGGAGCAGCTGTCCTTCCGAGAGCGGCAGAAGTACTTCGAGCTGGAGGTGCGGGTGCCCCAGGCCGAGGGGCCCCCTAAGCGTGTGTCACTGGTGGGTGCTGACGACTTGCGGAAGATGCAGGAGGAGGAAGGTGAGTGGGCACAGTGGTGGCAGGGACCTGGGGCCTGGCCGTGGTGCAGCCGTGCCCCGCCCACCCTGACCCATGACCCCTGACCCACCGGCTGACCACTCACCTCCTGCCCCCCCAAGCCCGCAAGCTGCAGCAGAGGAGAGCACAGATGCTGCTGCAGGAGGAGGCCGCCGCGGGGCTCGCCCGGGACGGGGAGGCCCTGGACGAGGAAGAGCAGGACGACGAGCCGTCCTGGGCTGGCCCAGGCCCTGCTGCAGGGTGAGGGCCGCGACGCCTGCATTTCGCCCTGCGTGCACTGCTCGCTCCCAACACGACCTGTCCCCCCCAGGCCTGGCCCAGCATCCCCTCCACTACCGGGAGGCAGTGCCCCGGTGCGGACCGCCAAGGCAGAGCGGCGCCAGCAGGAGCGGCTGCGCACGCAGAGC